TGATGCTGGAAGCTATGCCACTGGTATTTCAAATACCAGCAGGGTCACCTGAGGTGGACAGGTTTCAGTGGAGCTTCCAGATTAAGACAGAATAGGAAGAAAGGCCTGGTGATCTACTTCTGAATTAACCAATGACAACCTTATGGATCACTAGACAGCATTGTTAAATTTGCTTGCTTTGGACACATCAGTGAGAACGACCAATCACTGGAGGGGAACACTGTGTTTGGTGAAGGAGAGAGCCAATGAGGGCAAGAGAGACCCTCAGTGGGATGGACTGGCACAGCCGCTGGACCAGTGGACTCGAACGTGCTGGTGATTTTGAGGATGAACGGGACCTAGCAGCATTCCGTTCTGTTGCACATAAGGTCACCATGAGCTGGAGTCAACACAATGGCGACTGACAACAACCACATGTTCATGGAGAATGGATTTTTGTCACTAAGAAGAATGACGAATACTAGGTGATGTCTTTAATTTTTGTGGTATTAATCCAACAGTGATTATCTAGTATCTTCTCCATGCCCCAGGTACTAGAAACCCATTGGAGAAGATGCTGGGCAGAAATTTGAGCTCTTGAAGAGTTTACATTCTAGAAAGGGAGACACATAATATATATAGGATATGTCAGATGACATTAGGGGCTAAAGGGGAAAACACAAGGCAAGAAGATAGAAAGCACTGGGAGATTTTATACTCCAGTTCTTAGAACTTGTTAAAATAATGTATGGGATTTATTCTTTTGTCTATTTCTGTTTAACATCTTAATACCTGCAACTGCATTCATTTTATCAATTTGACCACCAATCAAATAGAAGATAGAATGTTCTTGTTGTTACTAGCTGCGGTCGAGTCAAACCCTGATTCAGGGCAGCCCCATGGACGACAGAATCAGACTGTCGTGATCCATAGGATTTTTTCACTGGCTGATTTTTCAGAAGGAGATCGCCTGTCTTTTTTTCTCCAGAATAGAGGATATGCATTGAGTATTTCTAGATTCTTCAGAGTGTTAAAGAAGAATGAAGAACGGGACCCTTGGTAAGGGTATTATCCCTCCAGCATTTTCACAGTATTCCTTGTGGGGATAAGAGAATAGTTTAATAGTGAGCTGTACTCGGCTAGACAGTAGTCATTGCAAGCTATTAAGTTCAGGCATCTACTTACCATCACCTTTATTTAACCTAGTCAGGTTATCCTCATTTGGGCCCTTTGCTTAGAACACCATTATAGCAATCATATACTGTGTATTTTTAGGATCTTATATAAACTTTCCCACAAATGCCCAAATTATATAACCAGCCGCCCCTCCCTCCACAGCCTCACCTCCAGCCTCTCACGGATTTATAGTAGGGATGAAGAGGGATGTGTCTGTGTGAGTGAGTGATCCCTGTTCAATGACTGAAAATCTTCCCGCTCCAGAGTCTGATCTCCCCTCCTCTGAGCAGGGCTGAGAGCTCGCTAAAAACAAGTGTGCTTCTTGATTCCCTCTTCTGTCCTCAGCCCTCACCTTCTGCTGTTACATTTTCATCAGGTGTCACACTGCTGTGTTCCTGAGGCTCCGAGACTCTGCCTCTTCTCGCTGAGTTCCAGCAAATCCCTAGGGCTCCGCTCCAGAGGCGGAAGGGGCCTGAGAGATCATTTCAGTTCCCCCAAATGCCAAATGAAGCCCAGCGAAGCCAGGTGATCTCTTCCCAGGTACAGAGGCATAAATACGTCAGCACCACATCCAGATTCCCTCTCTGGTGTGGTTTCTAGCAAGCCAGCAGCTTCTCAGATCTTTTCTCGAATATAAGATGAGGGGTGTGAAGAGGTGGTCTTAATGCCCCTCTCATCTGTACATATAAAAATACTACTGGTATGCACTGATCAGACTTGAGAGTTGACTCTTTTCACTGCATTGTGTAGAATGTGACCGACCAAAATGAAGCAGAGGAAGAGGAGGTAATTTTGCTTGGCTCTTTGTAGCTTAGACTCAGTCTCTCCTTTTTCATGATATGATGTGAAGAAACAAATGGTAAATTCATCCCCAGCAAAAAAAAAAAAGAAAAAAAAAAAAGGAAGTTCAAATACTCATGTTCAGCTAACTTGTGTACAAGAAAAGCACTATGTTATGTTATTATAAAATGGGAAAAGTCTTCTCACGGTGTGTGTGTGTGGGGGGGTGGTTAGGGTAAGACAGGAATAAGCAGGGAACAACGGTGATAAGCATTTTCCAAATTAGGAAACAGTTACGTTTTTCTTCATACTCTCTTACATAACTGATCTCATTTTGGAAGACAACACTAAAAACACTCAGATGAAATACGAATCTCATGATTTCACTGTTTCGTGAGCAAAGACTGACACGAGCAAACAAAACTGGAAGGAGAAAGAGGAGACAGCTTCGTCCTATCACACTCCTTGTGGCCAAGGGCTGCGTCACAGAATTTCCCCTTCTCCCTGGTGAGTCAGAGACTAAAGTCTAAATTTTAGGAAACGAATGAAGAAAGACACCAATTTCTCTCTCCTCTGAATTTGAAAAGAAACCGCATCCAAGTGCAGATCCCCTCTGGGTGACGCTGAAGGACAGACTGACCTGTTGTACTGCGGGTGACTGCTTTGCCCCAGACGGGCTTCCTGATTCGGGAGGAAGGTGTGTAGCACACACAGGCCACAGCAGCAGCACAGCGTCTTACATAAATAAGTTACATAAATGAGTTATGTAAACGCATAAACCAGAAAACATGAATTGTAACCATTCACAAACGCCAAGGAGAACACGGCAAGATTCCTCCTACAGCTCCCCGCCCCTTTCTCACATTTTCGTAACTGTGCCATTTTATTTCACACCAGAATTAGATTTGGTGATTTGTCACATTTATTAGAGAAAGAAACTCCAAAAGACAAATGATCACTTCACAGTATTTTCTGAATCGTACACTTGACTCGGGGCGGAAATTCCCGAATACAACCGGATGAATCTATATTTGATAAGGAATACATGCAAGTGTATCAATGTATCATACTCCTTATGATCATAAACACATCGATTTATTAAATATTTACCATTGTACATTTTTGCAACTGCTGTTGAGGACAAGAATGCATCCTAAAGTTAATGTCCAGATGCATATGGTGTTTGTTCTGGGACTTATGGTTTCAAGTCTCAGATGAGTGTGTGGGCATCTGACTAAAGTCATTGTTCTGCTAATTGAGAAAAGGCAGCAATTCAGAGAATTGGGATTAGATTTAAGCTTATGGTCATGAAGTAATCTCACTAACTCCCTCCCCGCAAATAATTAGGAGTTGCTATAGGGTTGCTATGGAGTTCACTTGACGGCAATGGGTTTGATTTCTTCTGGTTTCTTGGGGCTTAGCTGTAATTTGCTTAGGGTGCAATGTGAAAGATGAATGAACTCGTTTGCCTCTGCACCCGGTTGAAGCAGGAGCCTCAACTTATTCTCAGTCAACTCTTTTTGCCTCATACCTTTTGGGGTAATATATCTACACCTTCTCTAAAATTACATGATTTGATCATTGTGTAGTAAAAACAAATGTGATTCAAAACATGGTTTTGAGTCTTAACTGCCTGTTGTGTGTAAAGAGGGATATTAATTAAACATTAGCCAATTTCAGACAAAGCATGCTTGGGTTAACATTCCATTTAGCAACTTCCTTTACTTTGGAAATCTCATGTAAATTATTTCTAGAATCTAACAAAGGAACATAATAGTGGAATGGGAGTTAGATGATCTTAAAATCTCTGTATAATATTAGCTGTGTGATTTGAGCAAGTTACTTCCCCTCTCTGGGCCACTGTTTCCCATTTGAAAAAGGACTAACAGTTCTCCAGTCACTTCCAGCATTGACAGTCTACTACCCTATAATCAAAGCTATAAATGTTTTCAACCGAGAGCTTTAAACTTGCTGCTGTCAAGTTTAAAGGTAATATAACCCATTATATATAAATCAGATCATTCTCTTCTGCCGTCAAAATGCACACCCTGCTTGGGTTATAGTGATACGGTAACTGCCATACGAAAAGCTTTTTTTCCTGATTTCTTTTTAAAACCACCACATACAGACCTTCGCCTGCCCTGGGGGCAGTGCTTGAGGTGTGGGGACTACAGCTGGCATCCCAGAAATCTGTGGGCTTCCTCCTTGGAGCTGGGGGATGGGTTTTAAACAGGAAAAGAAGCAGTACCTTGGCATCAGGGCTAACTGCCTTGCTCTCTGGCGGGCAGTCGTCTTCGGAACGTGGATGGGGTTTTTTTCTTTTTTTTGGTTTGTTTCTAAAGTTTTGAGTCACAAAGTCACGAGGCTGACTTTATGCATCCCTAAGCCCTCTGCCTCTACATACCCATCTGTAACTTGGGACACAAAGCAGAGCTGCACCTGATAACAGCCACACCACGCGTGGAAGCTCCCACCGGCCAGAAGGAGGGGGCGGGTCCCCGGGTCCCCATCCAGGTGGGCGGGTGCGTCAGGGGAGGGTCGGCGATTTGAGCCTCAGGCCCGCGAGGCCGGCCGCCCGGCCAGTGAATCCACCAAGCAGGGGCTGGAGGAGAGAACAGGCGAGAGGGCCTGGCAGGTGGGGAAGTCCGACGGTTAGGGAAGGGGAGGGAGCTTCTTTGTTCGCTAACAACCAGCCGGGCCCTTCTTTCCGGAGAAGCCAATCGGATCGGCGCTGAGGGATCATCTGACCTCCGTCCTCACCAGCAGGGGGCTCGCAAGGGGTGGGGGCCGCGCGGTCGCTTCTCGCCGGCCGAGGGGGGAGCCCGGGCGCGGGAGCCGAGC